ATTAGTAAATAAATTGTAAATTACAATATAACTATCCGTTCCTGGTTTTGCGTGACAACGTCGCGCAGCTACCTTATGATTAAATAGTCGATGTGACACCCCAGTACAATACGTACTGTACATATCCAACTTATATCAATAAACTATTTTAAACATATATTTTCTGCAAGAGTTTATCAATGCTTTATATGGGAAACTCAATAAAATCATTAGAAAGTTCTTTAGAATTTGTAAAATTCCGTAGGCAATAATAGATTTCTTAACCAATTTCATAGATATTTAATCTTACTTTATTATTATAAGATGTACGGAATTTTATTAAAGGCTGAGGAATATCTTTTACAAAAATATTGTTATCGTGTAATGTAGTTCAGATTGCGTAATTATGATAACGATAACGTTTATCACAATGTAATTAGGAAATTTGTATAACAAAATTAATGTTGATATGCAAAATTTTCCGATTTGTGTAAGGGCACCTAAATTAAATAAGTTAATAGGCCACGTTTATTGTTACACTTACAATTTGAAAAGTCCGTTTGAAACTGCAACAAGGCCAATACATCCAGTCATCAGTGATATGATTTGTGTTAGCATCGCGACAAAATAGCATGTATTCTGAGGTGGACGCATATAACGAACCATTAATCTTTGAATAAGATGAATAATCGTCAAAATTTTCGTCAATCAGTTCTGTAGTTGCAGATGTATTATTATAACATATAACAATAATTTTAGTAATTATATCAATTAGTAATATAAAAGATACTACATTTGAGTATCTAATCAATACATACCAGTTACATTGGTAAAGGTTTCACCCAAAAGTATAGAACTCCAAAACGCGACCTGCCTTTCGATATATTCATTATTTTGCACGTATACATCATTAGGTAGTATAGGAACCCAAAATGCGTCCTGGTTTATGATAGGTTCTTCATGATTTTGCGCGTATGCATCATTAGGTAGCATAGGAATCCAAAATGTGTCCTGTTTTTCGATAGATTTATGATTTTGCACGTATACATCATTAGACAGCATAGGAATTAATGATGTCTGACTAAACTATTTCTGACGAAATTTGACGATATGACGTAACTACTGACGATTGACGATTGAAAAAATTCTTGACGAAATTAATTTGACCAATAAAATATAAAAATGCAGTTGACCATCTTTTAACAAGCTCCTTTATTACGTCCTCTGGATATTCTGAATCTTAAAATTTTCAAAATTACTGTTATTTCATCAAAACGTTTCGTCGGCCCTTTCTTAGACCCATCGGATACATCCAGGTGAGTAATGCAAATCATCGGGTAATGTCGGATAAATATGTCAAAAAACATAACAAACCGGGCAGATATAATAATGAACAAAAAAATTAAATTTACATGGACTAATTTATATTTCCATTAATTAGTATTCAATGACTCCTAAAGAATAAATCCTGTTTTTAAAATTTTCTTATACTTTTCATATAAACTTTATATTTCGTCATTAGTTTCGTCATGAGCTTTGTCATTCGTCACGAGTTATGTCATTTCGAAGTTGCCTGACGAAATGGTTTCGTCATTCGTCAAGCATCATTAATAGGAATCCAAAATGTGACCTGCTTTTCGATGGATTCTTCATGATTTTGTACGTATGCAGCATTAGGCAGTGAATTTGATCGTAACGGTTTTTTTGGCATTGACGGTAATGAATTTTTATGCCTAGTCTTAGATCGAAATTCAACTGAAAATGGTGTGGAATGTTGTAATTTGCGCATAAAATATTGCATTTTAAGTTTTTTTTTTAGTTTATTCGTCATTCTATTAGTAGATGGTGTTTCATTTTGAATTTTTTTTGGTGGGGACTTAAATTCTTTAGTAATAATTGCTTTCGATTTTGTTACGAATAATTCGTCTATAATTTCTAAAC